GTGGGCCGGTCCATGTCTGGTGGTGTGTTTTGGGGTGTCTGTGGACTTATTATGATTTTAGGCAGCCTCTCTGCTAATGGGTGGGGTTGTGTTCCTGTCTTACTAGTTGTTTGGCATAGGGTGTCCAGCACTGTAGCTTGCTGGTCATTGAGTGAAGTTGGGTGCTGGTGCTGAGATGGAGATCTCTGGTAGATTTTCGCCATTTTATATTATGTGGAGCTGGGAGGTCTCTTGTGGATCAGTGTCCTGAAGTTGGCTCTCCCACCTCAGAGGCACAGCACTGATTCCTGGCTGTAGCACCAAGAGCCTTTCATCCACACGGCTCAGAATAAAAGGGAGAAAAAGTAGAAAGAAAGAATTAGTAGAAGTAGAAAGAAAGAAAGAAAGAAAGAAAAAGAAAGAAAGAAAGAAAGGAAGAAAGAAAGGAAGGAGGGAGGGAGGAAGGAAGGGAGGAAGGAGGGAAGGAAGGAAAAAAAGAAAGGAGACAAAGTAAAATAAAATAAAGTAAGATAAAATATAATAAAGTTATTAAAATAAAAAAATAATTATTAAGAAAAAAAATAAAAAAAAAAAAACGGACGGATAGAACCCTAGGACAAATGGTGGAAGCAAAGCTATACAGACAGAATTTCACACAGAAGCATACACATACATACTCACAAAAAGAGGAAAAGGGGAAAAAATCATAAATCTTTCAAAGTCCACCTCCTCAATTTGGGATGATTCGTTGTCTAATCATGTATTCCACAGATGCAGGGTATATCAAGTTGATTGTGGAGATTTAATCCGCCGTTTCTGAGGCTGCTGGGAGAGATTTCCCTTTCTCTTCTTTGTTCGCACAGCTCCCGGGGCTCAGCTTTGGATTTGGCCCCGCCTCTGCGTGTAGGTCGCCTGAGGGCGTCTGTTCTTCGCTCAGACAGGACGGGGTTAAAGGAGCAGCTTCTTCGGGGACTCGGACTCACTCAGGCCGGGGGGAGGGAGGGGTACGGAGTGCGGGGCGAGCCTGCGGCGGCAGAGGCCGGCGTGACATTGCACCAGCCTGAGGCGCGCCGTGAGTTCTCCCGGGGAAGTTGTCCCTGGATCCCGGGACCCTGGCAGTGGCGGGCTGCACAGGCTCCCCGGAGGGGGGTGTGGATAGTGACCTGTGCTCCCACACAGGGTTTTTGGTGGCGGCAGCAGCAGCCTTAGCGTCTCATGCCCATCTCTGGGGTCCGCGCTTTTAGCCGTGGCTCGCGCCCGTCTCTGGAGCTCCTTTAAGCAGCGCTCTTAATCTCTCCTCGCGCACCAGGAAACATAGAGGGAAGAAGAAGTCTCTTGCCTCTTAGCTCCAGACTTTTTCCCGGACTCCCTCTCGGCTAGCTGTGGTGCACTAGCCCCCTGCAAGCTGTGTTCACGCCGCCAACCCCAGTCCTCTCCCGGAGCTCCGACCTAAGCCCGAGCCTCAACCCCCAGCCCCGCCCTCCCCGGCGGGTGAGCAGGCAAGCCTCTCGGGCTGGTGAGTGCCGGTCGGTACCGATCCTCTGTACGGGAATCTCTGCGCTTTGCCCTCCGCACCCTGTTGCTGCGCTCGTTCTCGCGGCACCAAAGCTTTCCCCCTCCGCCACCCGCAGTCTCCAACCGCGAAGTGGCTTCCTAGTCTGTGGAAACCTTTCCTCCTTCACAGCTCCCTCCCACTGGCGCAGGTCCCGACCCTATCCTTTCGTGTCTGTTTATTCTTTTTTTTTTTTTTTTTTTTTTTTTTGTGGCACGCCGGCCTCTCACTGTTGTGGCCTCTCCCGCTGCACTGTGCTCTGGCCGCGCAGGCTCAGCGGCCATGGCTCACGGGCCTATTCTTTTTTCTTTTGCCCTACCCAGGTACGTGGGGAGTTTCTTGCCTTTTGGGAGGTCTGAGGTCTTCTGCCAGTGTTCAGTAGGTGTTCTGTAGGAGTTGTTCCACGTGTAGATGCATTTCTGGTGTATCTGTGGGGAGGAAGATGATCTCCGCGTCTTACTCTTCCGCCATCTAACGATAGTCTTTATTTCTAAACAGAAGAGTTTCCTAATGGTGGAGTTTGTTGTGCTAACCGTTGTAACTTTTAGTTTAACAAGTCGCAGGAGAATCACGGATTTTAAAGACAAAGAAAACTTCCCAGGTTTATGCAGCCACTAACGAACGCCGGTGGTGATATCCAGCGTTTTATGATGGCCTTAGTTTTACTAGTGCTATGGGAGACAAGGTCGTCGACCAGCAGAGGGGAGAGGTGAGATTTGGAGTTTGATGGGAGAGGTGGAGGGGAGACGTGAGATTTGGAGTTTGATGGGAGAGGTGGAAACCCTGAATATTTAGAGTGAAATGGTAGCAGGAGCTGCCAAAGCGCATAGAATGACCTATGCAAGTAAAGGAGCTTGGCCCAGGCTGCAGACCATGGATTTGTAGTGGCTCTGGTCTGCATACTTGTTGCAACTCAGCAAACTAAAATTAGGCAGAGGAAAGTCAAATGGTCAGACTTTCCCCTGGGTTTGGGTTTGCAGGGAAGGTGAGACAAGGAGCTAGATAACTGGGGACATTGGTGAGAGACTGATTGAAATGAACAACAGTTGGGTCCAGGCTTGAGGGGGAAATAAGTGAAACCAAAGAGTTTCTGGTAGTTTGAGAGAGGATGTAATGGTCCAGGGACTGGAGGGTTCAACTATTATTATAGAATAAGTATAGTTTAAGAAAGCAACAACTTCATACCCATTACTATGGTTATTATTTATATTTTTATGGCAGTTCCTCAAAAAGTTAAACATAGATTTATATATCCAACAATTCCAAAACAACGAGCAGGGACTCAAACAGATACTTGTTACACCAGTGTTCATAGCAGCGTTATTCACAATAGTCAAAAGGTGGAAACAACCCAAATGTCCGTCAACAGATGAATGGATAAACAAAATACATACAATGCCATGTTATTCCACCTTAAAAAGGAAGGAAATTCTGATCCATGCTATAAAGTGGATGAAACCTAAAGACATTATGCTAAGGGAAATAAGCCAGAAATAAAAGGACAAATGTGGGATTCCACCTATATGAGGTACCTAGAATAGGCAAATTTATAGCTACAGAAAGAAGAATACAGTGGGAAATGGGGACTCATTGTTTAATGGGTACAGAGTTTATGTTTGGGACAATGAAAAGTTCTGAAAATGGATAGTGGTGATGATTGCACAACACTGTGAATGTGCTTAATGCCACTGAATTCTACACTTAAGTAAGGTTAAAATGGTAAATTTTAAGTTTCATGAATTTACCACACACACAGAAAAGAGCAGAAGGTGGTGATCAGAGTGGGACATTTGGAGCTGAGGACTGCAGGATTTCAACAGTAGTTTAGCCTATGGCAAGAGCTTGGTTGTAGCCATGGGCATGGATGACTAAGTGGAATGGAGGTCAAAGATCTCTGGCTTTGGAAGGGTGTTCAGTCTAGGAGCTTGGATGAGTTGGGTATTGACTTGCAGCCTCTACCGCCCTCCTGATCAGCCAAGCCCCCTCTTCCTATATCCCTACTTACCTTCCGATACCCCAAATCTCCCAGAAGCCAAGGATCCAAAGGTATTCTCAGTATCCCCCATCCCCTTCTCCTTTCCACTTCCTCCAGCCTAAGACTCTCCCACTCCACCCCACAACATGGGGGGTGGGGGTTATGCTACTCTCCGGGGGCAAACAACTCACAGTATAGGACATGTAATAATTCAAACGTTTGTTTTCTAATTTTTCACAATCTCATCAGTTTATCACAACTGTGTTTTAACATTTTGATGTGTTTGCTTCCATTTTTTTCCTTCTGTCTCTGGTTTTTACATAGTTGTAATAATACCTTTACGTCTACTTTTTCTCTTTATTGTAACATAAGCATTTTTCTGTGTTGCCAAATAGGCCTCATAGAATGTAATGTATTCCTAGTGTGCCCTGATACCCAGGACTAAAACCACAAGGAACTGAATAGTGCTAAAAAACCTTGTAGGGAAGAGGGTAAGAGTGCGGACCAGACGATGGGGGTAGAGTGGGGAGGAGCACGAGAAGACTTTTAGCTGTAAGTCATGGGGAGGACACATGGGGGCACAAAGATTCAGATCTGGGTCCCCCTTTTTTTTTTAATTATCAGATGATAATTAACATTCTGTATATAGTCTACAAAAACTGTTGATGTGAAAAGGATGCGACTCTGGAAAACTTAGCAAGAAAAGATAAAAATAATCAAACAAAACTGAATATAATTATGTAGACTAGCTGCAGTACAATAACAGTTATGCTTATCCCTACAATCTGGGTCAGATTAACTTGGTTAAAAGTTATGTTTGATTGTATCAGCAAGTCTTATCCACAGTTAGTGATTCTAGTAACACAGATACCACTTCATCAATCAGCAGACATTTATCTCTCCCCCACCATATAGTGCAAGCTGTTATGTAGCATGACTACTTCCAAGTTAAAAAAAATTAAAAACATTATCTATGGCAGGCTTAGATCAAGAAGTTTTAGAAGAGAGTTGAATGACTTAGAAGTCAACAAAAATTATGACATATTCTGTGAGCAAAATAGTTCCTTGATAGTACAGAATTAATGGGCTCTCTAGCTTCCAGAGGAGTCCTTTTATTTCTAAATATTCAAAAGAATAGACAGAAACTTCTTTGGAATTTATAACATCGCAAGGGGCCTGTGGGAGATTTTCATATTATTAAATTGCAAACTTCAGAACTGGGCAGACAGAAAGCTGATTTTTTTTAATGCATATATTTCATGTCATTTCTTATTTTAGAAGATACAATACAACTCTTCAAAGCTTTAATATTTTTTGTATTGCTAGCTATTTCATGTAAGTGCTCATTATAAATGGATAACATAACCATTAATTAATAGGAAAACTAAACTATACTTTGTAGAGAGTCTAACTCTACATATGAGATTTCTTGCATGCTCAGTTGTATACTTACACGTGTGTATACGTACACATATGCTTATCTCTTTTATCAAGGGAAAAGTTCAATTAGAAGACTTACTTCACCATCTTGAGAAAGAAGGGATTGAACTCCTTGCCTTTACAGAAGAACAACTCTACTTTGTCTGGTGCTTGTTACAGCAAAGACAGGCTGAGGACTGCTACCAGAAATCTAGAAGAGCTGTCAGGGAAGCACATGGAAGAAATTAAAGAAGTAAGAACTGATATCATAAAGTTTTAAGATAGCTGTGGTTTTGGGACTTCCCTGGTGGTCCAATGGTTAAGACCCCATGTTTCCAGTGCAGGGGGCACGGGTTCAATCCCTGGTCAGGGAAGTTCCGCATGCTACGCAGCGCAGCCAAAAAGAAAAGAAAAAAAGATGGCTCTGGTTTTGTTTATTGTCCTTCATTATATTAACATGTTAAAAACCAACATTTGAATATCACTGTATAATTTGCAAAGCACCCACATGTACACTTTTCTTTTAATGAAATATGTCAACAAGCTGTATTGGTTTCCAATAGAGTACATGTACAGGACATTGCCCAGAGATGACTAGTTGACTATCCAAATAGGTCTGCTCAAGGTGCTTTCATTATCTTGGTAAATTCATCCTTGTCTCAATAACCGGCCCTTTAGCTGACTCTCCTCCTAGTAGCCTTAGAAACCTGATTAGTCAGTGTACTGTGAGTGGATCTGCCTCTCAAAGGTGACCGTGTGTTAACCAAACTCACAGAGAAGTTTGTAGAAAAATAGATACCAGCTTTTTAGTTGACAGTAAGAAATATAACTGCCAAGGGAACCAGACACATGTATCCTGTGACTGGTGCCTTTTTTCCCTACAGGCACACTACATAGGAAGCCAAATTTTAATCAAATGTCTACTTGCTGAACAAATGATTCTAATTTTTTAGAGCACTAGCTAAGATAGCCAGATTTACACCATAAAGCTATCCATACCTGCCCTTGTTTCTGGACCTGTTATATCCTAGAACCAGGGTACCTAGCCCTTAGATGAGCAGATAATGGCACGTTTTGACTCTTTAATCACTCTTTTTGATGTGTCCAGTATTGATCAACCTACTTTCTTATATATAAGCTACTTTCTTTAAATGAGTTAATAAAATTTTCTCAGGTTGCTTGCAGATCACTGTGTTGTGTTTTGACAGCTCAGCTCAGCTAACTTGTTGATTTTTAAATTTAACTCTTAGAGGGCAGTTTGATTTCCAAACTCTTAAAGAAGAGTACAGCTCCTTTAGAACAAAAGCAGGATAGCATAGTAGACCATGAACTTTAACATTAGGCAGTTGGGGGTGAAAAATTGCCTTTGGCACTGACTCTCTGTGTAACCTTGGGCAAGTTACTCAACTTCTTTGAGCTTGAAATTTCTCTTCCATAAGTTGGAGATGATAACAGCTCCTTCAAAAGGATTTGTGAGGTTTACACATATTAACGTGTAGAAAACATTTCACATACGTACTTGGCACCCAGCAAGTATTCAATAAATTATAACTGTTATTATTAGAAATAGGTAGTATTGTTCCTGCCATTTTAAAGAGGAGGAAACTGAAGCATCCCAGGGAGTGATAAAGTTGAACTGCGGTTCTGTGTTCCTTCTACTATATCATTCAGCTTTTTGTTCATATTCTGAGCAGTTGTCCCCGAAAAAGGCTTCAACACAATTCAGCAAAATGCAGTTATTTTGGTAGTCTCCTTCTAAGTAATTTGGCATAGTAAGAGCTCAGGCCCTGGCTCTGGCCCACCTCAGTGTGAAGTCCGGCTCCCCCCTTTGCGCTTTGCTTGACAACACAAGTCCGTCAGCCTTTCTCAACCGCCCTCACCTATGAAGTGGGAGATAATAGTGTCACAGGCTTGTGGTGAAAACTCAATATTTGATGTCCTTAACATAGTACCTGGAGCATATAGTTAGCTTTCAATCTATTATTAGCCACATAAAAGTGCCTTTTGTGAAGCTGTCATATTAATCAGAAACTGTTTTTAAAGAATACCCAATAGTTTATTTTAATACAAGCTCCTATTAGCATTTAAGACATCTTAATCATGAGTTTTGCTTAAGACATAAAATACTGTGTAGATACTTCTCTGTTCCTGAGTATCGTGACCATATTTCCTAAACCATAGATAAGGAGACTTGATTTGAAACCTGATTTGTTAATGGAAAAAAATATCAGCGATTGTGACTGTCCCAGAAATTTGTGGTGATGTGTCATCCTATCTATGGGAAACAGTGTCTGATAACATATGACAGCTGGAAGGAAGTTTAGGGAGAGAGACCCACACTTAAGCCAAGTTGAATTTTCTGTTTATTTCTTAGATTATAAACATTGATAGTATGGTGATCTCTTAATGGCTCTTTCACTTCATAGACTTGTAAGAAAATGTATTCTTTTCTTCTTAGGTAGAAAATTATGCAAACCGTGTCTGTAACTTACCAGAGGAAAAGGAAGCATTTTCTCATGGTTACGAAAAGGAAAGCAAGCAGCCTAGGCATGAGTTTAAAGGGCTCCAACTCAAACCGGGTAAGTTTTCCTTTTGTAAACATGTAAATTTTAATTTTTTCCCTAATTCTAATAATTAGCATGAGACAATTACAGAAAATTTGGGAAATGTGTAAAAGTAGAAGGAAGGAAAAAAAATTACTACATATCCTCCACCTCAAGAAAAGTACTTGTAGGGCTTCTCTGGTGGGGCAGTGTTTAAGAATCCGCCTGCCAATGCAGGGGACACGGGTTCGAGCCCTGGTCCAGGAAGATCCCACATGCCACGGAGCAACTAAGCCCGTGTGCCACAACTACTGAGCCTGTGCTCTAGAGCACGCGAGCCACAATTACTGAAGCTCACGTGCCTATAGTCCGTGCTTTGCAACCAGAGAAGCCCCCACAATGAGAAGCCCGTGCACCACAAGGAAGAATAGCCCCCCGCTCTCGGCAACTAGAGAAAGCCTGCGCGCAACAACGAAGACCCAACACAGCCAAAAATAAATAAATAAATAAATTTATAAAAAAGAAAGAAAAGTACTTGTAATGTTTTAGGTGTATTTTCTGCCTGTCTTTTTAAGGTATGCATTCTGAAATATTCTCAAATGTGTGTGAGAGATTACAGAGTGGTGATTTTCTTTAATGTCGATTACAGCACTTACCACACTATGTCCTAACTACCTGTGTCAGCGCTTCTGGGGCAGAGATCTCACTCTAGTCTTCCTGGTTTCCGTGTTTTCGACAGCACCGGCGTCGTAAAGTACCTAGCATGTTAAGGGCTCAGGAAATGTTTATTAAGTGCTCCAAAGCTACAAGGGAAGATACAGATAGGACCCCTTTAAAATACTGTATTTGTTTAACTCCATAAATTAGATATTATTATGATATATGGTCAATGATTATTTACATTTGCCACACATTTATGATTTTCTTTGCTCAGCATTTTTCCTTGCATCTCAGATATCCCATTTGGGATCATTTTCCTTTTTTCATTTTAGAACTTCCTTTCATAATGGTCTGTTGATGGAAGGTTTTTCTGTATTTTGAATCTCAGATTCAATCTCAGAGAAAATTTAGCTAATCACAGGACATAATTCATATGTACTACACTCAGGTTTCATTTTTTTCCCCTTTTTTGTTATCCATTGGATAATTGAGTTTTCTTCTTCTGGTTTAAAAGCTTGCATTCTAGTTTTGTTCATATGGTGGTTGCATTTTAAGAGTTTTAAAAATTTCTTCTGACATTTTTAGTTATTCTCGGCAGCAGGGCTGTTCAGGGCTCTAATCTGCCATACTGTAAGAAGCAGAAGCTACTCTATGCCCTGCTCCTAACATAAATTAGCTCATGAAGGACTGGGAAGTAGGGGAGTGATGTCACTATAATGTGGAAGTTCACATGTAATTTTCCCCGGCATGTTAATGATTTGGGCCACCAGCAAGCCTTGGAGTTTATACATAAAGCCCGTTCATCCCATGTTCCTCTTCTGGGCTGTTTGGCCACATGTTTTGTCTTGGAAGTGCTTATTGCAAAGATATTACTAATCTTTTGCGTTTTGCCTTTGTTTCCAACTCTGCAGACTCAGCTCCTTCATTGGCTCACCTTTACAGTAAACCTGATTTTTTAAAAGAAGACAGAGTCCTATATTTGCTATAGTATTCCTCTATTTTTTAGGAATTTGACACATCTGTTTAAATCTACCAGTATAATATTAGGATTGTCAGTGTTTTTTATAGCACTCTAGCTACACAATGACAAAGGTTTTGAGTGCTCTATGCCAACCTTTTTTCCATAAGCTCCATTATTTTTAGAGAGCAGTTTTGCAAAATACAAGTTTACTTGTTTGTTTTAGGAACACATACCTCAATCACATCAGAAATGCTTCTGTAATTAAAGGATGTCTTTTGAAGGTGGAGCTAACATGATTTGGTAATGGATTTCATGTTGGGTGGGAGAAAAGGAGAGAAACCACTGGTGACCCAAAGCTTTTTGGCCTGAGCAGTTGAAATATTGGAGTTCCTAACTACTCAGATGGGGGATACCATGGGAGGTCCTATTTGGGGAACACCGTAAAGAGTTTGCTTTTGGACATCTACATTGGATGTGAATATTAGACATCCAAGTGGAAATGTCAAGTAGGCAATTTTGTATATGTTTGGAATGCAATGTGAACTAGAGATGTAAATTTGGGAGTCATCAGCATATAGCAAATACTTAAAGCCTTAGGACTGTAGGAGATAACCTAGGGAGTAAAAAGAAGAAGATTCAGAGCTGGGCCCTAGGTCATTCCAGTGTTTAGAGGTTGAAAAGGTAAGAAATCAGCAAAGGAGTCTGAGAAGGAGTGGCATGAAATGTAGGAGGAAACCTAGCAGAGTGTGGTGTCCCATAAGAGAAATGATGCAAGTGTTTTAAGAAAAGGAAGGGAACAATTGGGTCAAATACCATTGATGCGCTATGTGGAGTGAGGACAGGTAATTGATCATTGGATTTGGTCACATGGGGGTCATTGTGACTTTGAGGAGAGCTGTTTCTGTGGAGTGGTGGATATGAAAGCCATTGGAGTGAATTCAGGAAAGAATGGTAGGAGAAGGGGAGGGGACATGGCTGTGGTTGATCCTTTCTTTTTTTTTTTTTGATCTTTTCTTGAAGTTGTGCTGCAAAGAGGAATGAAGAAATGGTGGAGGAGCTGGAGGGCGTTATGAGTTTGAAGAAAAACTTTTGTTGTTTTCATCACTGTTGTTTTTAATGGGAGATGTTATACCATGTCTCTAAGATGATTAGTTGGGAAGAAAGCTCCATGAGGCAATAGAGATAAGAGTCAACTGCAGGAGTTTTATCTTTGAGAGGAGAGGGAATGAGATCCAGTGTACAAGTGGGGGAGGAGGGCGGGGGTGGTGCTGGCCTTAGGAGCCAAGGGTAGTTTGTTACATCTCACAAGAGGGAAGAGTACAGGGGAGCTGGCAGATTTGGTAGGGGAGCTTGTGGAAGCTCTCTTCAGAGTGCTTCTCTTTTCTCGGTGAAATAAGATGTAGGGTATTTGGGCTTCCCTGGTGGCGCAGTGGTTGAGAGTCCGCCTGCCGATGCAGGGGACACGGGTTCGTGCCCCGGTCCGGGAAGATCCCACGTGCCGCGGAGTGGCTGGGCCCGTGAGCCATGGCCGCTGAGCCTGCGCGTCTGGAGCCTGTGCTCTGCAACGGGAGAGGCTACTACAGTGAGAGGCAAAAAAAAAAAAAAAAAAAAAAGTAAGGTATTCAGGTGAGAGTGAGGATGGGGAAGGAGGTATTAGAGATATGATGAGGGAGAGGGATGAAACAAGCAGGGGAATGTAGGAGGATTGCTGGGCAGCAGTAAGGGCTCACTTGAGGTTAGTAGTCGTGAGTTTGAAATTAAGCCACTCAGCACTACCTGTGCAGTTTTCTGTAGCCCCATCCAGCTTCTGGAGTGTACTGGTGAAGAGCTGGATTTAAACAGGTTGGAGTTTTGTCACCAAGTATAATGGAGGGAAAGAGGGGCAAGAGAGTAGTGAATGTTTTCAAGGGAGTGATTGTAATGATGGACTATAGAATCTAAGCTGGGTAAGTGAGAACAGGAATGGGATAAGGAACACTGAAAAGTGTTTAAAGTCAATGGATGATAGTTTCCAGTAAGGTCAAAAATTATTGAAATTGAGCTGCTAGTACATGAGAAGGGATGATTGGAGGATAAGATGTTTGCAATTGAAGCTAGGGAGAAGTTACAGAAACTATAGAGGCTAATGACCAGGTCTAGGGAATTACTGTGGAGTAGGTGGCTGAGTGGGGTAGAGGACTAGATCTTTGGAAGTTAGCTGGTAAAGGAACTGAAAAGCCAGGGGACTGGAATAATCATCTACCTGAATATTGAAATCATCGAGAATTTTGGCAGGATTAGTTGAGTGACTGTGGACAAGTTTCTTGGTTTCTTGGTGCCTGAGCCCTCATTTCTTAAAAGGGAAAATCATGGTTCCTACGTCACTGGGTTGTTGTAAAGATTAAATAAGATAGATTTATCTCAAATGCTTAGTACGATACCTGCCACATAGTAAGCACTCACTAAAACAACAATACACTTTAAAGTTATGCAAGAACAAATTTTAAACTTCTGCAAGTAGTAAGAATATCTACGGCTTTTGAGAACCTTTTCCCACTACTTTTTAGTTATTTGCCTGCATTTCTTTTAACAATTGTGTTTCTGGTGTTTCTTCCTAACAGAAGTGCAAATAAAGGAGGTCGAAATATTGTATCAAGAAGGCTTGTCTGAAATAGCTCTGAGCAGCCCTAGTGAACAGATTGCACACTTACTCATGGAAAGAAGTACACTCTTGAGGAAACTGGAACGAGGGGATCCCAAACCAGAATCACAAAGATGTCTGAGCAGTAACCTACAGAAAGAATTTCCCCAGGTATTCAAAATTAACTGGGTAATTGAGTAAGAGACAGGCTAGTTGAAAAATGCATTTGTTCATTTAACCATTCATACATTAAACTATCAGGAAGCCAGTTTTGATAGCGCTTAAGAATATAGGCTTTGGGCTTCCCTGGTGGTGCAATGGTTGAGAGCCCGTCTGCCGATGCAGGGGACATGGGTTCGTGCCCCGGTCCGGGAAGATCCCACATGCCGCAGAGCGGCTGGGCCCGTGAGCCATGGCCGCTGAACCTGCGTGTCCGGAGCCTGTGCTCCGGAACGGGAGAGGCCACAACAGTGAGAGGCCCGCATACCACAAAAAAAAAAAAAAAAAAAAGAATATAGGCTTTGGGTTTAAATGGACCTCCTCTACCACTTGTTAGCAGTATGTCCTTGAACAAGTTGCTTAACTTTTGTGAGCCTCAATTTCCTCATCTATAAAATCTGGGAGCAACTGAACTACTCCACAAGGTGATCATGAAAATGAAATAATATACATAAAGCTCTAGAATGGTACCTCACATGTCAATTAGCTTTATTGTTATTATTTATTGAGAACTTACCATGTGCCAGGCTTTGTGCTAGTGGATGTAGGAACAAAGTCAAATTAGAAATGATTTGGACTTGCAAGGAACTTACAAGCTAATGAAGGAAAGAAATAAACCAGTGGTTATAATTCAGTGTGGAAAGCTCTGTGATAAAGTGAAAACTCAGGGTAGGGGCTGAGTCAGGATGGGTAGAAAAGGCTTCCAGCAGAGGTAATGTTGAGTATCATTTTGAAAGCTGAGTGTTAGGTGGATGAAGAAGATGGGAAAGGCATTTCTGACAGAGGAAACAATGTATAATACATACTGGTTTATGTGAGTCAATGCTGAGAAATGTGCCTGGAGATAATTTTCAGAAACCACTTCATAGTGAGACTCATATGCTAAGCTAGAGAGTTTGGAATCAGCACCCAGCAGTGTTCCTGGAGCACACTAGAGGCATAAAAATATTTTGAATGTACAAATGACTAACTGTTATAGATGGTCTGGAGAGTCACTAAATGATTTTAAGAGGAGAGTAACATGATCTGATTTGTGTTTTAGAAAAATCACTCTGGTCACAGTAGAGGGGTGGATTGGATAGGGACCAGATTGGAAGCCGCGATTTCAGGGGATGTTACCTAATAATTAATTAAAGAATGAGAACCAAAAACAAGGCTCAGAGTGTAATACAGAAGGGAAGAAGGAGTTATGAAGGAGATGGAATCTATAAAACAAATTGGACACTGTGGAGGTGAAGTCTGGGATGACCCTAAGGCTATCTACCCAGTCACTAAGTCATAGTTTTACCACTAATGGACAGAAAGAATTAAAACAGATATACTACAAAGGGTTTTTGTTATTATACAATGTAATTCATAAAATATCTGTCACATTCCCAGTTATATTTTGTTTAAGCTAATGTTGTAATTTACCTGAGCATAAAGTAATCAGTAGAGTCACTTTTTTGTAGAAATTGACAAGCCGATTCAAAAATTGATAAGGAAATGCAAAGGAACTAGAATAGCCAAAACAACTTTGAAAAAGAGGAACTAGTTGGAAGGTACACACTTCCTGCTTTCAAGACTTACCACAAAACTGCAATAATCAAGAAAGTGCAGTATTGGTATAAAGGCAGATATATAGATCAATGGAACAGAATAAGGAGTCTAGAAATAGACCCACACCTACATGGTAAATTGATTTTCAACACAGGTGCCAAGGTAATTTAATGGGGAAAAGATACACTTTTCAACAAACAATGCTGGCACAATTGGATAGACATATGCAAAAAAACAAAAACAAAACCCTCAACTCTATTGAGGTTCCCTTCCCCACTGGTAAAGGAGGGAGTCCCTACTCTAAATACTATGAGATAGCCAAATACATGACAGCCAACATTGAACAGAGATGTGACTGATAGTTTATTAGTCAGATAGACTCACAGCCCAGGGAGGACACTGCCTGTCATGCAGGGCCACAGGGGTTGTACTCAGGAATGGAGTGAACCCATAGGGGCCATGGGAGACAGACTTTATAGTACCAATAGGATGAGGTACCCCCTAGTTCTCATGGGAGGATATGACTGGCTTGTTTAAAAAATTCCATGGGTTGGCAGTGAAATGGCAGCCATTAGGCTGAGGACTGGATAAAATATAGCTGTTCTGGAAAAAAAAAAATATATATATATAGCTGTTCTGGCTGATAAGGGCACTAGCTGGGTGGAGAATCTTTCCCGTTGGATGGGGGCATATCTGGCAAAAGCAAGGGAATTCATGCTTAGGCTTTTGGTGCACTGTGAGTTACAAAGGTGTCAAGGTAACACATGAAATTTTAGACCTTACAATACATTTATCCTATATCATATACAAAAGTTAACTCAAAGTGGTTCATAGATCATGTAGGAGATAACTTTACAGAAGAAAATCTTAGTGACCTTGGGTTTGGCAAGATTTTTATAAGACAGGAAAAGAAAAAACATTGGACTTCGTAAAAGTTCAGAACATTTGCTCTTCAAAAGACAAAAATAAAAGAGCAAGCCACAGAAGGGAGATAATTTTTTTTTTTTTTTTCCTGGTACACGGGCCTCTCACTGCTGTGGCCTCTCCCGTTGCGGAGCACAGGCTCCGGAGCGCAGGCCCAGCGGCCACAGCTCATGGGCCCAGCCGCTCCGTGGTATGTGGGATCTTCCCGGACCGGGGCACGAGCCCGTGTCCCCTGCATCGGCAGGCGGACTCTCAACCACTGCGCCATCAGGGAAGCCCGGGAGATAATTTTTTAAAAAATATATCCAATAAAAGCTTTGTATCTAAATATATAAATAAATCTTATAACTCAACAATAATAACACATACAACCCAACTAAAAACTGGTCAAAAGACTTAAAAAGTGACTGCACTGAAGAACATATACAAATGGTAAATAAACACATGAAAAGATGCTTAACTTCATTTATTATTAGGAAAACAGAAATTACAATGAAGTAATTTATTATGAGGTAACTATTAATGTATCAATGCATGGCTAAAATTTAAGACTAACCATATCGAGTGTTGGTGACAATGTGGAGCATCTGGAATTCCCTTATCCTACTGATGGGAATATAAAATGATACAACTACTTTTGGAAACTAGTTTAGCATTGCCTTAAAAAGTCAAACATATACTTATCACATAACCCTGCCATTCCACTCCTAGGAATATACCCAAGAGAAATGAAAGAATGTGCCCAAATAAAGACATACATGTTACAGCAACTTTAATTGTAGTAGCCCTAAACTAGAATCAACTCAAATGTTCATCAAAAGGTAAATGTATAGATCCATAGAATGGAATATTACTTGGTAATAAAAAGGAATAAATATACAACAAAACAGATAAATTTCAAAATAATAATCTAAGTGAAATAAGCCAGATCAAAAAGAGTACATAGTCTATGATTCCATTTGTATAAAATAGTAGAAAATGCAAACTAATATATAGTAACAGAAACAGATCAGTGGTTGCCTGGGGACAGTGTTAGGGGAGGAATGAATTATAAGGAAGTGTAGGAAACTTTTAAGGGTGATGAATATTTTCATTATCTTTATTGTGGTATTGGTTTCATGGATGGATACATGTAAAAAAATATGTACACTGTAAATATGTGCAGTTATTATATATCAGTTATACCTTTAAAAAGATTTTTAAGAAAGATTTTTCAGGGCTTCCCTGGTGGTGCAGTGGTTGAGAGTCCGCCTGCTGATGCAGGGGACACGGGTTCGTGCCCCGGTCCGGGAAGATCCCACATGCCGTGGAGTGGCTAGGCCCATGAGCCATGGCCACTGAGCCTGCGTGCCCGGAGCCTGTGCTCCGCAACGGGAGGCCACACAGTGAGGGGCCTGCGTCCCGCAAAAAAAAAAAAAAAAAAAAGGATTTTTCAAAGATCTTATTATGAAATGTAACTTGTAAAAATTTCATTGCCTCCCTAGGGGTGTGTGTGTGTATAGATATATTTTTTTAAATTAATTAATTAATTAATTTTGGCTGAGTTGGGTCTTCATCACTGCACGTGGGCTTTCTCTAGTTGTGGCGAGCGGGGGCTACTCTTCGTTGTGGTGTGCGGGCTTCTCATTGCGGTGGCCTCTCTTGTTAAGGAACACAGGCCCTAGGGGCATGGGCTTCAGTAGTTGTGGCACATGGGCTTCATTGCTCTGCAGCATATGGGATCTCCCTGGACCAGGCCTCGAACCTGCGTCCGCTGCATTGGCAGGCATATTCTTAGCCACTGTGCCACCAGGGAAGTCCCCCTAGGTATATTTTAATAGGCCAATACTGAATCAACCAGTGCATAAAGTAGACGAGAGAGTCATTCCAACGAAAGTGAGGCCACATGAAGTGACACAGAAGTTGAAGAATTTTGCAAGGCCTGATCTATACACTAATTACATTTTACCTAACATTTGTTTTTTGTTGGTTTTCTGACTTAATACAGGAACATAGTAGAAACAGATTCAAGCAGTATAAAATTGAATGAAAAATGAGTTTTCTCACCCCAAATCCTCAGTTCCATACTCCTAAACTACCACTGCTGACAATTTTTTATTTATCTTTCCAGAAAATTTTCTTCCTCTTAAAATACAAATTATGTTCCATTGTGCATATTGTTTTCACTTTCTGTATTAGTGTATATAGATTTGCCTTAGTCTGTTTGACAACATATATTCTTTTGAATGGATGTATCAAAATTTATTTCATCACTTTATTGTTGCATGTGACAGAGGACAAAGGGATGACATTTAATGCCAAGAATAATCAAAGATTTAAAAAAACACATTTTATTGTGGAATATAACAGCATATATGCAGAAAAATGATAACACTTAAAAAATACAGTTTGACAAATAGTTATGGAACAAACACCCATGTAACCACTGGTCCTGTGAGGAATACAACATTGCCAAATTCCTAGAAGCTTCCTTTTCTGATCACAACTCCCTTCCTCCCCACAAAGGTGTGCCTCCCTAAATAATATATATAGTAGTTTAGTTTTGTCTGTTTTTGAACATTACATACAAGGAATCAACTTTGGGAATTGCTTTTTTATAAAACATTATGTTTGTATTATTTATTTTTAATTAGCTTGTCATTACTATGTATCATTCCATTGTGTGAATATATGGCATGAGGCTATCCGTTCTAAGTTGTTTTGGGTTGTTTCCAATTTATATCTATTATGAATGTAATATAATCTGTCAGTTATGCTGCTATGAATATTCTTATATATGTGCATGCACTTGTGTAGGGTATATACCTAGGAGTAGATTTAGGGAGTTATAGAGTATGTAGATCTTCAGTTTTACCAGATAATGTCAAACTGTCTCCTTAAGTAGTGGTACCAATTTATACTGGCAGCAATAAATAGTGTATGAGAGTGTCTTTGTTCCTCATCAACACTTGATGTTGTCAGACTTTTAAATTTTTGCTAAACTACTGGGTGCATAATGATATCTCATGCTGGTTTTAATTAGCATTTCCCTGATTACTAGTGAACTTAGTATGATTATCTGTCGTTTGGATTTCCCATTTTATTAGTGTTTATTCAGGTCTTTTGTCCATTTAAAAACTGAGTTGTCTTTTTCTTACTGATTTATAGGAATTCTCTATGTTCTGGTTTCAAGTCTTTTATTGATTATGTGTATCACAAATACTTTTTTTCCCACTTTGTGGTTTGTCTTTTTAATATTCTTAATAGTGTCTTTTAATGAATGGAAGTTCTTAACTTTAATGTAGTTCAGTTTATCAATCATTTGTCTTATGGTTAGTGTTTTTCTGTCTTGTTTAAGAAATCCTTGCTTTCTGGGATTTTGATTTTTGCTTTTATTGAATCTATAAATCAATTTAAGAGGAATTGACTATCTTAAATTATTGGTATCATTTGTGATCATGGACTATCTTTCCATTTATTTTTTAATGTATATAAACAAAGTTTTATAATTTTCCCTACAAAATCTTGTGCATTTTTTTTATATTTATTGCTAGGTACTTCATATTTTTGGGTGCTATTAATAGTAAATGCTATATTTATTAAGAATTTAATTTTCTAATGATTGCTAGTATTAAAAGTATAATTATTTTTATATATTGACTATACCTACCAATGTTGCTAAAATTTCTCATTTATCTTAATAATTTATTTGAAGATTTAAAATTTTTTCTACCTGTACAGTGCTATCTGGGAATAATGTTACTTTTGTTTCTTCCTTTCCAATTTGATTCCTTTTAATTCTTTTATTTACCTTACTATACTGGCTAGGATCTCCAGTATTATCTTGAATAGGAGACGTACTTGTCTAGTTAATGATATTAGAGAAAAAGTATTCAGTGGTATGATGTTTGATTAAGGGTTGGGTTTTTTTTAATGATACTCTTTATCAGGTTAAGAAAGTTCTCTTTTATTCCTAGTTTGTTAAGAGCTTTTATTAGGAATTAATGTTGAGTTTATAAAATGTTTTTTCTGTAGCCATTGAGATAATGAAGTAATTTAGAACTTTCATCTGTTAATGTGAGAATTTCATTGATTAATTTTTCTAATGTTAAACCTGTCTTGCGTTCCTGGGATAAATCCAACTTGTTCATGATTTGTTATCCTTTCTAAATATTATAGATTGAGTTTGATAAAATTTTGTTTACATTTTTGTATCTATGTTTATGAGTGAGGTTGCCCTGTGAGTTTTCTTTTTGTATTGTCGTTGTCAGGCTTTAATATCAAGGTCTGGCTAGCCAGTGTTAGCCAACCTTTTTTCATTATTGCCTCCATAATGACACTTTTTAAAGTTTCTTTTGTTTTGTTTATTTTATTTTTGGCTGCGTTGGGTCTTCGTTGCTGTGCTTGGGCTTTTCTCTAGTTGCGGCGAGCAGGGGCTACTCTTCGTTGCAGTGCACAGGCTTCTCATTGCAGTGGCTTCTCTTGTTGCAAAGCACGGGCTGTAGGCGCACAGGCTCAGTAGTTGTGGCTTGTGGGCTCTAGAGAGCAGGCTCAGTAGTTGTGGTGCATGGGCTTAGTTGCTCCACGGCATGTGGGATCTTCCCAGACCAGGGCTCGAACCTGTGTCCCCTGCATTGGCAGGCGGATTCTTAACCACTATGCCACCAGGGAAACCCAATAATGACACTTCTTAGATAATTTTTTCTGTCACTCTCCCATGAAATTTTAATGGCACTGATATAAAGTAATTCTGTTTTTGCACTGTAGGCATCTGCCCTTTGTACTTGAAAGGGTAAGATTTTTTCCCCCCTAGAAATCAGTTTGCACTCCCTTGGGGGCAATATTGTCTCATTGAGAATGTATGGTCTTGCCTCATAAAATGGATTGGACTGTGCTCCCTCTTTTTTTACGTGGCTATTTTTTAAAATTTAAATGACATTTTTATTCATGAAGCTGATTGATGTAATTTTCATTCACCTCTTAATGTTTACTTAGGAGAAATTTGAACAAACTCACCAGCCTCTGCAAAGGGAACATCAGAAACATCAAGAACTTGTGCATCAGTCTAAAAAAAGTCTGAGTGAGGTAAGAAAAAATTACAATCTTTTACTTAATAACAGTAGCTAGTTACAGGTTAGCTTTTACCTTGGAAGTATTTTGTTTGAGTATATTAAAATGTACAAATCCATGCTAAAGGATATCAGTTGTGCATAAGAGTATTACAAACACATCACAAAAATTTGGGAAGAAGAAAAAAGTCAATCACCCATTTAACACAATAGCTGATTTTTATTGAATGTATCAAAACTTAAACAATCGATGTGTGTTATGTCCTTTGAAAAATCACCTTGAGACAGTACACACTTCTTCCCAAATATGTTTGGAGCTTCTTTTGGCGGGGGAGTCCTTTAGACTGTATAGCACATTATTTTACATACAATTAATTCTGTTTGTAGAAATTATTTTTTGATCTGGGGAAATGTTATTAAGAGCTACATCCAGTGAATAAAACATATACAGAGAATTTAACAATGGGAAGTAACCCAAGATAAATATATATGGATGAAGCTGTATATCCATCATAGTATTATTTTCAATAGCAAAAATTGGAAACTACCAAAATGTTGAAATGATTATATAAATTATCTGCACCCACTGGAATATTATATAGCCTTTAAAAATAATCATTACAAAATCTGTACAACAATATAGAAAAAGGTTCCTCATATAATGTTAAATGAAAAAGCCAGACAGAAACATGTATATAGATTAGGATTATGACTATGTAAAAAATGTACATAAATAAAAAATACTGCAAGGAAATATACCAGTAAGCTAAAACTAGTTTTGTTATGTAGATGGTATTGGTTATTTTCTTATTTTTTAGAAAAATTGGTGTAATGATTATATTCATATAAAATAAATACATATCTTGGGGATCAAAAGCAAAATATCATTGAGGTTGAATTTCTTTCTTAGTTTTTAAAATGCTTTGAAAGTAATTGTAGGAAAGGAGCTCTAAACATGATTTGAGCCTTAATTGTGTACATACCTTGAAATTAAATGAAATACCTTATGTAAAGGCATTTTATAAACTGTATTTAATTACCATATAAATGAGGAGTATTTTCACTCTCTTTGGCCAGATGATAATTTTTATGATTAAATTTCTATTATATAACCATAATCTCTTAGATATGCTAGGTTTGAACCTTGTGAAATTGCATGTTTATAGGTTAAAAACAATCAAATATCACCAATTTTCTATGGTTCAACCTAATAAAAGAAATGCACATAAATATTCTGTTTGCTACTCTTCTTTATTGGCTTTCAAACATTTATAGGTACTAGCACGATGTCATAAGGGTATATTTACTTTTTGGTGTACTATTAACAATCATTTTATTTCAGTCCCATGATGAAGACCCAGAAAAAGGTAAAATATCACAAAACTGCAGAGAGAAAGATATGGAACAAGTAACAAGGAGGTTAGGGATGGCCCATGAAGAGATCCGAAGGCTCACTGATGAACTGCAAGGGAAGGAGAAAGAACAGAGTAAATTAGGTAAGCTGTGGTTACAGATGAACATGTCTAACAATGTTTTAAGTGTAATGATCCTACTCAGGTTGGAACATGAGAGCACTGAGAAAAAAAATCTTTTAAGATAAACACATAAAAGTCTGATATACAGCCTCATTTTCTACAGTGTCCAGAAATTTTTATTGAAGCATAGCATAACATACCTACCAAAAAGTGTACAACTCCAATATGTACACTACCCAGTGCAAGAAATCTCCAGCACTCTGGAAGCCCTGTTTCTTCTTGCTATGTCTACATATTCTCTCCTCCCCAAAAATAATGACTCTCCTAACTTTTAAGGTTATTTCTGAGTTTTGACTACAGGGAGTATGCATCCTTTAGTTTGTTTCTTTCATTCAATCTTATGTTTGTGAGATTCATTTATGTTGTTGCATGTAGCAGTAGTTTGTTCACTTTTGTTGTCTGTACTCTAGTATTCCATTGAATAAGCCTGCTCAACGTATTCTATTTATCCATTCTACTGATGATGGACAATTATGTTGTTTCCAGTTGTGCTCTATTATGAATTGTGCTGCTATGAATATTCTTGTGCTTATCTGTACATCTCTGATCATGATATTCCTAAGAGTAGAATTATTAGAGCAGAGGGTTACGGGTTTGTTCTACCTTGGTAGATACTGCCATACTGTCTTCCAAATAGTTGTATTAACTTAAGGTCTTCTCAGTTGTATATGAGATTTTGGTTTCTTCACATTCTTTGTCAATACTCAGTATTGTCAGTCTTATTAATTTTACCTTTTCTGATGAGTATGTACTAGTATTTAGTTGTGGCTTTACTTTGCATTTCCCTGACAGCTAACGATGTGAAAATCCTTTAACATGTTTGTTGTTGTTGTTATTGCTCATTTAGATATACTATTTTGTGAAGTTCCTGCTCAAGTCTTGCACATATTTTTCTATTGGGTTGTATCTTTATGTTTTGTAGGAGTTTATTAATTTGTAGGACTTTTCTGTATATTCTGGATATGAGCCTTTTGTTGGATATAAATGTCATGTTAAGTTTTTTTGCCATATAGAAATGCTAATATTTATCAAATCAGATTTAACCAAGTTATTCTTTATGGCTTCTGGGTTTTCATGTGTAAAGCCTTTTCTGTATCACTACAAGGTTATTGAAAATGTTCTCCTCTGGTGTTTTTTTTTCTTTTAGTGCATTTATGGATTTATTATTTATGTTTCCATCTTTGCTTTATCTATAATTTATTTTAGTATGAAGTTTAAATTTTTTAAATGATTTCGTCTCTATATAATTTGCAATAATTAAAGAAATTAGACTGATTCTTTTTCATGCAGTATATATGTTACTGTAGGATCATTTCTTAAAAATGTTAAATGTATAAAACAATAATGATCTTGCCAAATTGATTGTGGAATTAAAAAGAAAGAATATCAGGAGGGTTGAGATTTTGTTAAGAATGCATTTTAAACAGTGAACACAAATGACCTTTTCAGAATGATGGAAAATTGGACTAATGGGTACACAATTGCATATATTTGTCAAAATTCATCAAATTACTTAAAAGGATGAATTTTACTGTATGCAAAGTATATCTCAATAAACCCAATTAGAAAAAAAAAGAAATTTGGCCACGTGAGCCTGATGAGAAGCAGTCTGCTACTTGTAGTACAGAAGGAGAAAGGAAAGAGCAGGAGCCCTGTTATGTTTAGTTACATTTGGATGCAGCAGAACACAATCACACAGCACCCTGTTCCATCAGCACTTGGTTGCTCTGGTGGATCCTAAACTATTAATTGAAAACTGTCTGCACAGTGAGTATCCCCAGGGGACCGCTGGGAAGCTGAGTTAGCAAGTCCTTTTAAAATATCACATGTAGTGTCAGTATGGGTCTTACGTGTTACTTCTTGAATCATCCATCAATTTATAGCCAGAATTTATCCCTAGGTATATGTGTTACATGATAGTGTTTCCCAAGTATTAGCCTATTTATTTCAACAAACTGACTCTTTTAAATGAAGGACTTTATTTTAGTTTATTTTCTAGCTCTCTTTATATCACACCCAAAAATTTAGATGGGAATGAGAAATTTTGGCCAATAATAAAAGTAGTTTTCAATAATAAAAAAGAATACATGCCAAATATTTATTTATTCTTCAATAAATAAATTACAAGAAAAAGATGAATTTTTAAAGGTTTGAAGGAATTATTAACCAAATATAATGTGTGGCCTTTACTGGATTCTGATTCAAACAGGTTTTTTAACATTTATGAAACAGTTGGAAGTTTGAATGCTAATTGGCTATTTGTATTAAGGAATTCTTGTTAAATTTCCTTAATCACACATAATGGTATTGAGTTTATATTTTAAAAGAGTCCTTATCTTTTAGATATACATATATATGATGTCTGGGAGATGCTTCAAAATAATACAGGCCCCTACCTCACACCCACACAAAAATTAACTCAAAGTGGACCACAGAACTAAATGTAAGAGTTAAAATTATAAAATGCTTAGAAGAAAACACAGGAGTAAATCCTTATGATCTGGAGTTAGGCAATCATATGTTAGATATAACACCAAAAGCAAGAGTGATAAGAGAAAACCTAATAAATTGTACTTACTCAAAGTTTAAAATTCCTGTACTTCAAAATATATTAACAAGAAAGTGAAAAGACAAACCATAGACTGAGAAAAATATTTGCAAATTATGTGTTTGATGTGGGACTCATATCCAGAATATATGAAGAATTCTCACATATTCTTTTATATTATTATAAAAAGACAGCCCAATTTTAAAATAAACAAAATAAAATTTGAGTAGACATTTCTTTAGAGAAGGTATATGAATGGCCAATAGGCACATGAAAAGATGCTCAACATCATTGGTCATTAGGGAAGTGCAAATTAAAACAATGAGATCCCTCTTCACACCCTCTAGAATGGCTATAATAAAAAAGACAATGACAAGTGTTGGCAAGGAGTGTAGAAATTGGAACATTGCTGATGGGATTGTAAAATGATGCAGACACTTTGGAAAACAATTTGGCAGTTTCTCAAGGTGTTAAATGTAAAATTATCATGTGACCCAGCAATTCCACTCCTGCGTGACCCAGGAGAAATGAAGACGTATGTCCACTCAAAAACTTGTATGAGAAATTAACACAACATTGTAAGTCAACTACACTTCAATAAAATAAATTTAAAAATAAACCTTGTATGTGAATGTTCAGAGCACTATTATTTGCAGTAGCCAAAACAGAAACAACTCAAACGTCCATCATTTGGTGAGTAGATAAACAAAATGTGGTATATCCATCCTGTGCAGAAAATAGTTAATATAGAAAACCTGCTAGTGGGAGGCTGCTGCATAGCACAGGGAGGTAAGCTCGATGCTTTGTGATGACCTAGAGGGGTGGAGGAATAGGGAGGGTAGGAGGGAGGCTCAAGAGGGAGGGGATATGGGGATACATGTATCCATATAGCTGATTCAATTTATTGTACAGCAGAAACTAACACAACATTGTAATGCAATTATACTCCAATAAAGATGTAAAAAAAAAAAGAAGAAGAAGACTTGACACTGCTGTCCTTAGAAAGTCCTGCTTGTCAGGTTAGCCCTTGGCTAGCATCTGGAAACTTGCATTTGGGGAAGGTTCCCACCATTCCCCAATTTGTAATAGTGGCTCACTGTGCTTGACCTCTTTGTACAAACAATATGATTTATGCTGAAAACCTGCTTTCCTTCTGAGAGTCTGGGATTTTGATGTGTCCTAGGCAGAAGGTGGTGTCTATGTCACCAGCCCCCAATAAATATGTTGGCCACCGAGTCTGTAATGAATTTTCCTGGTAGACAACATTTCACACGAATTGTCAATTCATTGCTGGAGAAATTAAGCACATCCTGTGTGACCGCTGGGAGAAGACTCTCGGAAGCTTGTGCCTGATTTCCTCGTGCACCTTTTCTGTGTGATTGGGAATGATCTCTTACAAGATTCATGTTAGTGTCTTACTTCTGGGAGATTCCTCAACTTGCCGTTATAGAAAGCCTATCAGCCATACCATTGGTGATGAGTAAACCACAGGAGGCAAAGTGATTAAACCTGGGTTAGAGCACCCAAATCCAAAAGACTCCAATGCCCCATATACTTTCCTTACGCCCTTCTGCTCTCCTCACAAAATTCTTGAATAGTACCAAAAGCTATTTCCTGAAATTTTGCTATTTTGATATTTCTAGAAACTACTGGCAAAATTCTAAATATTATTAATTGCAGGAATTAATTTTAAGTATTTCTGTGTGTAATTTCTTTTTACTAAACTGGTAGTACCATGCTTAAAAACTTTCAGCTGTTCCTGTTGTTTACAGTAGTCCAGACTCTTCAGCATAGAATCTGGTTAGGGAAACAGGGAAAGATTACAAGATCAGATGATATCAAGGACAGGGATAAATATAAGGTGTAGTAGGAATATTAAGAGGGGAATCTGGAAAACATTCCGGGAGGACGTGACATTTATGCAGAAAGTCAGGGGACAGCCATCAGAAAGAAAGTGTTCCAAAGAGAAATAGTCATTTGAAATTTGATTATTATACTAATTAGTTGCTCCATACACAAATATTTTTTTCTTTTTTTCTTTTAGATTCTGCACTTGAGAAGTCTCAACTAGAAATTGAGAAATTGAAAGAAAATTTGATAAAGCTGAAAGAAAATGGTGAGTCGTTTTAGCAGATATAACATTTAATAATAAAATATTAAACAATAATATAATTTGTTAAGTAATATTTTTAAATAATATTACTTAATAAATAAAATAATATTACTACTACTGCTATTGAGGCAGGAGATAGATGGGTCCCAGGCTGAACAGTTGGAGTTCGTCCCCTGTGGACAGATACTCCAAAATAGCAGGAGGGAGGAGAAGCTAAGCCCTGCCCAGACAAAAGATAAAAGACCACATATTCCTCATTCTCGAAGGAGGAGACCTTCCTGACTACACACATGCAGAAAGGATCCTTGAAGGTCGAAAAGGGAGGGGGCGCCACCCCATAGTAGGTGATGTCAGGCTACCCATAGGCCTCTTTGCTAGAATCCATCTTGGCTAAGAGATGTGCGCACACACGTGGGAGGACCCTGAGAAATATCAAATACAGGCTCAGGCCAGGCAAAGCAAGATGATTGGCCAAGGAAACCTGGAAGAAATGCTCCATAAAAGTGAATCAAACTACCACGAGGGTGCGACTCTCTCTCTGAGCCCCCCGGTGTGTCTATCCATAGGTACCCTTTTTCCTCCTAATAAACACTTTACTTGTTTCACTACTTTCTGTCTTTGTGGGAATTCATTTCTGCAGAGCTGTATCGGCCAGGGCTTTGTCACTGCCCACTGGTCTAGTGCCTAGGATTCAGCACTCTCACTGTCGCGGCCTGACTTTAATCTCTGGCTGGGAACCAAAATCCTGCTTCAAGCCGCTGCAGACCGAGGCCACCCTAGATCACTATTATTACTATATCTACTGCTATTACTATTACTACCACTTGTTGCTTCCAAACAGGTATGCTGTCAGGCATTTTATTTTATTTATTTATTAAAAAAATTTTTTTAACATCTTTATTGGAGTATAATTGCTTTACAATGGTGTGTTAGTTTCTGCTTTATAACAAAGTGAATCAGTTATACATATACATATGTCCCCATATCTCTTCCCTCTTGCGTCTCCCTCCCTCCCACCCTCCCTATCCCACCCCTCTAGCTGGTCACAAAGCACCCAGCTGATCTCACTGTGCTATGGGGCTGCTCCCCACTAGCTATCTATCTATTTAACGTTTGGTAGTGTATATATGTCCATGTCAGTCTCTCATTTTGTCCCAGCTTACCCTTCACCCTCCGCATATCCTCAAGTCTATTCGCTAGTAGGACTGTGTCTTTACTCCCATCTTGCCCCTAGGTTCTTCATGACCTTTTTTTTATTTTTAGATTCCATATATATGTGTTAGCATATGGTATTTGTTTTTCTCTTTCTGACTAACTTCACTCTGTATGACGGTCTCTAGGTCCATCCACCTCACTACAAATAACTCAATTTCACTTCCTTTTATGGCTGAGTAATATTCCATTGTATATATGTGCCACATCTTCTTTATCCATTCATCCAATGATGGACACTTAGGTTGTTTCCATCTCCGGGCTATTGTAAATAGAGCTGCAATGAACATTTTGGTACATGACTCTTTTTGAAGTATGGTTTTCTCAGGGTATATGCCCAGCAGTGGGATTGCTGGGTCGTATGGTAGTTCTATTTTTAGTTGTTTAAGGAACCTCCATACTGTTCTCCATAGTGGCTGTATGAATTTACATTCCCACCAACAGTGCAAGAGGGTTCCCTTTTCTCCACACCCTCTCCAGCATTTATTGTTTCTAGATTTTTTGATGATGGCCATTCAGACCAGTGTGAGATGATATCTCATTGTAGTTTTGATTTGCATTGCTCTAATGATTAATGATGTTGAGCATTCTTTCATGTGTTTCTTGGCAATCTGTATATCTTCTTTGGAGAAATGTCTATTTAGGTCTTCTGCCCATTGTTGGATTGGGTTGTTTCTTTGATATTGAGCTGCATGAGCTGCTTGGAAATTTTGGACATTAATCCTTTGTCAGTTGCTTCATTTGCAAATATTTTCTCCCATTCTGACAATTGTCTTTTTGTCTTGTTTATGGTTTCCTTTGCTGTGCAAAAGCTTTTACGTTTCATCAGGTCCCATTTGTTTACTTTTGTTTTTATTTCCATTTCTCTAGGAGGTGGGTCAAAAAGGATCTTGTTGTAATTTATGTCATAGAGTATTCTGCATATGTTTTCCTCTAAGAATTTGATAGTGTCTGCCCTTACATTTAGGTCTTTAATCCATTTTGAGTTTATTTTTGTGTATGGTGTTAGGGAGTGTTCTAATTTCATTCCTTTACATGTACCTGTCCAGTTTTCCCAGCACCACTTATTGAAGAGGCTGTCTTTTTTCCACTGTGTATTCTTGCCTACTTTATCAAGATAAGGTAAGATAAGATATGTGCATGGGTTTATCTCTGGGCTTTCTATGCTGTTCCATTGATCTACATTTCTGTTTTTGTGCCAGTACCATACTGTCTTGATTACTGTAACTTTGTAGTATACTCTGAAGTCAGGGAGCCTGATTCCTCCAGCTCCGTTTTTCTTTCTCACGATTGCTTTGGCTACTCGGGGTCTTTTGTGTTTCCATACAAATTGTG